TCCTTGCCAAGGACAGCCCTTCCGCCTGGCTCCGCAGTGCGGCGCCAAGGGCAGCCATGTGGTTAGCTCACAGGAGCGCTCCGGCACAGCCGGGCCGCTGCCAAGGCCACGTCTATTGACCACGTCACCCTCTGCTCCCGTGCAGCAGCTTGTGCCGTGCTCAAGGCCTATCCTGGAGCAAAGGCTGTTCTTCAACTCTTTGCCTCTGTTTGTGTTGCTTTCCTGCAACACCCTCTGTGCTGCTGTACATCCAGAGAGCTCTGTCATCAGTCACCTTTAGATCTCAGTTTAAGGTCCTCTTCACAACCAATCTGTATTCCACCTTGTTATCTGACCAAATGCTCTTACTGCAGGCAGCATTTCAAATAATTAAAAGCAGTATCATTACCGGTGCATTAGCCACTCTTCTATCTCATTAAAGCATGGATAGCTGTGCCTAAGTGTAATGGATTAGGAATGTTGAGTCTCAATCCTTTAAAGCAAGAGGGTTGGCTTAAGTGGAAGCATTACAAAAATGGAGTTGTTCCCATGAGCAAAGTCTCAGAAATTCATCTAAGTTATCTCACGATAACTTTCAAAGCCACCAATAACTTATTTTCATGAATACAGAAATGTAAAGCCAAGAATATCTTAGTGTAATTTAAATCTTGCATATGCAAACAAGATACAAAACTTAGGTTCTAAAAAACTTAGGTTATTTTGGACTTTCTAGCCAAACTAATATTGACCAATGTTATGGACTATGCACAATCACTAGGAATGCTGCACTACGCAATCCAGTTCTTTCAGCATTATTACTTTATCCTGACTGAACTGAAGGAAACAGAAGCTTTGACATTAACTTCAAAGAGGATAAATTTTGATGCTACAGACTTAAATTTCCTCTATAATGCTCACAGAGTTTTTGTCCAACAGCAAAACTTGCTCAACCCTAGACTTTGTGCAGAGCTCTGTGTAAATATATTTATATTTTAAGTCACAGAAACTGTGACTTTTTAATTCCTGTCCCAGTCTCTTTCCATTTCAATACTGCACATCAGCAGGACACCACAGGCTCCATCAGCTGTGGAAATACTCAGATCTGCAGTGCCAACCACTACTGCACAACTCACCCAGGTTGAACAAGAAGAGGGGAAGGATGCTCCAGTTTCTGAGTATGCCAGATTCACACGCCTTAAAGCTTCTATGTGTCAGATGCTCAAGTGTGTACTTACTACATTTTATTTAATATCAACTGGTTACTGACCTCTTTCCAGGCAGTTTTGAAAGCTTTGTAAGCTGGATGTCCAAGAAAATACTAACCACTTACGTTCCCAGTCCATCTACTTCTCCTTCCCCTGCCCCACACATGCAAAACACATGCAAGATACTGTATTTCAGTCCTGCCCTTTCAGGTGCCCTTGTGAAAAAAATCATCTTTCACTGTACAATTCACAAATAAGAAAAGAACAAGACCTGCTGCCAAGTAATACTAGCCTTTAGCTATTAACAAAATATCTACTTCCAATTCTCTGTTGTTCTAGCCGTACCTTTTCAAGCCCTAGAAGTATCCCAAGGTGTTGGTGAATTGTAGCAATTTGCATCCTCATACCCTGCTGCACCACTCAGAACACCTAACTCACAGCTAGAACACAAGCAGTAAACATGGGAAGGCCACAAGTTATTTGCTGTACTTTTAATACTGTAGAAACAAACTACGAAAACTTCTAAAAAAATAAAGTAGAAGATCTTTTTTTATATATAGGAAACTTAACAAGAGGTCTTGAACAGTTTTAAAAACTTACAAAATACATTCAAGTGTGGAAAGTCACTTTACTGATAAAACAACATTTCTGTATGTGTTTTCCCCCGAACAGGATATCAAAGTGTACACGTATCAAAAGTATCACTCAGTCACATTATCAGAACATGTTGCTCTTCTCCACCCCCCAGAAACAGCATGTATATTTTAAGTCAATTTAACTGTAGTATTCCAGAAGAGCAAAGCAACATTAAAAAAAAAAAGAAAGAAAAAAAGAAAAAGGTTGATACAGACAATAAAGAATAAATACACAAAACAGAAGATTTACCAAGTTTCGGTAGCCACAAGTTGGTATTTGAAAATGCTTAGCTTTTCAACTGGCTTTGCTTCACTGATCTGCTGTATGCTAGTAATTCGGCATCAAAGTGCAGAAAATAGCAGTTTTAACTCCTGGTCACAGTTTAGAAAATAAACATGTCCAAATTACAAGTGGCAAAAGTAAATTTAAGATATTACAGCGAAGTCAGCAGCAGGGAATACTAAAGCAGCTTTGATGATTTTGCAGTGAATAAACCTACCAAGAAGCTTTTGCAGGTTTTTTTCTGCAGACTTCACCACGGAGCTGGTAACAAGCACCACTGAGCTGCAACATTCCTAACTTCTCCAGCTAGCCTGGAAGAGAACTTCTGTCTGCACCATTAACCATTCCACTGTAAAACCACTGATTTAATTTAGTGGATGTATTACCACTTAATAATGCTCCATAAACATTGATATGCTCCACAAAAATGCTTTTGAAAACAGCATGTTCAGTTATAAAGAACACCATCTAGTTATGGAAATAGGCAGCCTCTGACTAACACTTCTGCCTAGACAGAAGTAATTAGCCTCTAATCAGTGTACACCTCAAGTCCACTCTATATTTCACAAAGACAGTAGGAGTATACACTAGTTTTGTATTGCGAAACCAGTTAGTAAGCTTTTAAATACTGTTTCATCTAGTTAAAAAAAAATTAAAGAAATCAGATTTAAAAACTGCAACATAACCTGTATTTGAATAGCATGAAAGTAAGTGCTAGTGACATTTAACTGTAACATTGCTGCAGATAATCTAAACTTTCTGCTCAGGTTAGAAAAGGTTTAATAACTACTATATAAATTAAAATGTAGGGCAAAACAGCCAATAAATATTTATTTTCATTGCAAGCTTATTGGGTACAGGTAGAAGTGTGTCTTCTGGTGCCTGCCTTCAAAATTCAATAGCCAATTGTCACAGCTGCAGCCTTGACTATGTATTAAGAGTCAAAACCTGCTTTGCGTGTGCAAAGCAGGTCTGTAATACTACTTACGTAAGCAACAGCAAATTAAAAAGAAGCATATAACACCAGGGACTATTCAACCGTGCTACATTGGTAACAGGTAAATTGAATATTAAGCTTTTTTTTTTTTTCCAAACTTGCAGAAGAAATACAGTTATATGAGCTTCCCCTGCTACGTTAAAAAAAACTGCAATTAAATAGGCCAATTCTTCCTTCAACACATACAGAATAACGATGTATTTACAGTATTTACAATTTTCAAAGAATTTTGGACTTCTTACATTGTTTTGCAACAACTCATTTTTTCTCCCCAAATGAAATAGTTACACAGTAACTTTAAGCACTATTCAGAACACTAAACAATTCCTGTAATAAACCATATTACTAATTTTAACTTACTGACATAAAGACTATAGTGCCTTAAAGGAGATAAAACCACCCATTTCACCTAAATATCACGCTATCCCATAGTTTGGGGGATAATATCGCATATCTATAGATGTTTTACACAGATCAGGTATTGTTTACTTTCACAGTTTTCCAATTTAAGTAATAAGAACAAGGGAGCTCCAGTCCTAACCCTGCTGTGTATTCAAGTAACAATAAGACTAGAACCACAAGTTCCTCTCACACGTATTTTCAGTTACAAGCAGGTTTATCTTCTGTACATAACTCTGTTTTAATTTTTCCCCAGCTTAAAATAGAAACATACCACTTTGAAATAAAATATGCTGATACTCCTATTTACTCTAAGTTGTCAGATTAAGATGGGCAATCTTCTAAGCTGCAGTTTTGAAAACTACTTTAAAGCAGTTGAAAGGGTTTTATCTTTAAAGCAGTTTTAGCTTTGAAGTTAAAGCAATATTTAAAAAAAAAAGCTCTACATGAGATGAAAATATTATTTGTGTTTCTCCGTACAACTTCACAACAATCAAAGCACCTGTTCTGAATAACAGTATCGAAGAGAAAATCAAAGGTTTCATTCACAGTAATGCACATTTTCAGTGCCATTTAATTACAGTATTTTCTGAAAAGACAAAAGGGATTCAAACTACGCAGGTTTCAGTGTCACTTTTTTTAATAGAATATATCCGGACAACAAAATAGGATTTAAAACTTGGCAAAAGATGGGGAAAAAAAAAAACAGTCCATCCTTTATGGCAACACAGCTAACAATCAGAACAGCAATGTTATTAACTGATTTCTTATACAGCAAGACTTCAAAAGTAAGATAATCAATTTGAAGTCCTTTACATGCATTTAGCAGAGCTGTTGTCTCTGAATCACTCAGTATTCCCCATATATGAATGAATGTATGTTAACCACAGCCAAATTCTGAGAAGCTTATGTCAAACGAAAACCTGAAGAATACTTAATCCTTCCAATTGTTCTACATCAAGGAAGGTAACACTAGCTTTTCAGTCGATCACTTTTGAGACAGTACACACTCAGGAGCTGTACTTGCTACTTCTACAAAAAGCAGGAATCATTACCAAACCTTCCTAAACTTTTACAACCAACTGAAAGAAAGTAACTTTGAGAATTCTATATATATGCACAAACATCATCTTCAAATGAGGGAAGAAGTTGTTGTAAAAAAACGTATTTTCAAGTTGAAGTAATTACTTGTTTGGTCAGAACTGTACACTAAGAGGTGTCTGAGTTCAAAGTAGAGCTTCAGAATTCAATTTTACGTACAAAAAGTCAGTCAGTGGCAGCATTGCTGCACGTAAGGCATTTTAGGAATGATACCAACACAACGTATTGCCTTCAGCATTTCAACAGGTTCACTACTATCAGCAACCTCTTACATTTTAAGATTGCTTACTACCAAAACCACAACCATTGGGATCGATCGATGCAGAGATGTCCGTAGAACTTCCATAACGAGGATGCAAGAGGAAGAGTGAGCCTTTCCCAGGCCTGGAGAACAGCTGTCCATACAGCTAACCTGAACATGCCGAAGGAAAGAGGCCACTTCCCACAGCCCGTCCCCACTAACTGGCCCAGTCCTGAAAGCGGAAACAGTCACTCGCGATCTTCCACACCGTGTTGGTCGGAGTGGCCTGCGCTGTCAGCAGGCAGTTCTGATTGAAGTTGTGCTGCTTGTTGCCATCAAATTTGACTGTCCCACATGTCACCACGAGGACTGTTGTCTGGCTTTGAGTAGCTTGCTCTTCACAAGGAGAAAAATTATATAGAAAACCCAACAACCCAAACAAGGACAAATAGCTAAATAAGTAGAAAATGTACATAAAGGTTTCATTGAATTCTATTTATATTAGTTACAGGCTAACACATAGTTATATACTCCTGAAAAATACATTTTATTATATCGTTTCTACACAAACAGTCATTTATTCACTGCTTTTCTAGTGTTTTTGGTATTTTCAACACATGCTGCAACACATTCTAGAGCATTGTGAAAAGCCCCTGGGTTTTTGCTTGGAACGAGCTCTCATTATTTGATATATTTAGCAGGTTGCATACAGTTTTCCCCCCCGCCCCACACCTGTTAGAGACTATACTCTTTTCACAGCAGAGCAAAGCAAACAAGGCTTGACCACAGTTTTTTCCTTGCTTATATTCCCAAAACACTTATTAACTTCTCAATTATGTAAGTATTTATCTGGAAGTTGCAGATTAGAAATCATTTTTTTTTAAAAAAATGTGTTTTATCTACTACAGATATTAAGAAATGAACATACAGAAAAGGTAATGATTTGTTCCACATTACACTGCAGGCCAGTATCAGAAGCTATATAGAGCTCTCTTGACTCTCAGTCCTTATCAAGGACAATGTAACATGATAAGACACATTTTTTGCAGTACATGGAAATGTAACATTTGAATCTTAAAACAATATGTGGTCTTAATAAGAATTTTGCTTTAAAAATTTTGCTTAAAGAATTTCTCTTAACAGGTGGAAGAGCATACTTTACATTTCAACAAAATTTATTTAATGTAAACATGCCCCCCAAAGATAAATATTGAGCACTGCTGTGCTTGCTGCTCACTTTTTGCAGTTACAAAGAAAACTATGTATAAAAAAAAGGCAAAAACAAACAAACAAAAAAACTGAATTATGTAATAACCTTACCGTGAACAGGTTGGCAGTCCAGTACATTAACCTGGAATTCACTAGATGGCAGCATTTCAAAAAACTCATTCAATGCTTCCTGCCCAGACACTGCATTACCATTCCAGACTAACGTTGCTTTGTCCAGATAGAGTCTAGTCAAAACCTGCGAGATTACAAACATACGTATTGGAGAGAAATGTATAAAAAAAATACAATGCACAACCTTAGGCTTCAAAAAATACCATTTGTGTTACTGATTTCTTCTATACCTAAAATAACATTCTCCTCAAATATCAGCTCAATTAACAATTAATGCTCCTAACTAAAAATTCAAACTATTAACTAAAATATTGTAGTAATTGAACAAGACCAGGAACAGTAGAAACTTCCACAAGGACAGACCAGAGCTTCCTAACCTGTAAACAGCTGAGTAACAGCGTAACTCCCACGAGCTGTTGCTGCATCTCCACCTAACCTGCTTACATACAGTGTGACTACGGAGTAACATCTGAATGCTGACACTTTCACATAATATAGAATTAATAAATTACAGTTGTATTATATTAAAAATTCCAAATAACAGTAAATTTTCATAGCTGGTTTTTGATGTACAAGTATTTCTTACATGATACTGCATCAATGTGGTCCACGAAAACTTTTAAAGCTTTATCTTTAGGCACTTCTAAAGAGTCAGACTCTTTAGAGAAGGTAGAACTACTAATTTAAAAAAAAAAAAGTTAGGCAAAAAATAAGCTAAAAAATAAGTTTGGAGACAAACAAAGCAAGTTTTACCTGCTCACAGTGACCAAATTCTGAACCTTTGAAAGGCAGCTGGACACAACTGAACCATTACTAGTATTGACTAGTTAGAAAAGCAAGGAAAAAATGCAGAAGGTATAACTACTGTCAAGATATCTACATACCCTCCTTCTTTTGTCCATTGTCTCATAATAAATGTTGACAAATTCTTCAGCAGCTCTACAAGCTTGATCCACATAGGTTTTGAAATCCTGGGGAGAAGAAATCATACAAAATTGCACATTATATATATTTAGCAATTTTACGCAGCTAGTTTTCCAAGCAGTTTTTCCAGCTAGTGAACTACCCTTTTATATATTATCAAAGTCACCATATCTTCCATCCTCACTAACAGATAGCATCAAACAATGTTGAAAATAGTATCAAATTCCTCTTTCCTTGCTGGAGACACCAACTTTTAGTAACTTTAGAATTTATGCTAGCTTTAGAATTTTTGAATGCTGACTTATTTACTATATTTGTTCACTGAGTGAGTGTTCACTAAGTGTTGACTGAGCTACAACTGGCTGCAAGTGCAGCGAACATAGAAGCATTCAGAGAAAATATTTGGGGCTGCGATGGTCATGCTGTTCTGATAAAAAGCCTTAAGGAATCAAGATTTATTCAAGCTGTTTCCAAACAAGTATCGTGTCAATAAGCCTACCACACTCCAGTCATAGTCTCTCACTTTTTTAAACATCTTAAAATACTGAGAGAGAGCAAGATATAGAACTGGATATACTCCTATATCCATCACTCCACTGGTAGATATACAAAAGCAAAAAGCAAAAACTTTTCCTTACATCTCATTATTTTCCTTACACCTTGCCACTTTTATTCACCCAAAGGCATCACACCTTGCTTCCACACCACTGCACTGGGAGTTCATTCAGGCATTTGTTCAGCTTGTTTGTTTGTTTGGTCCTTGATCTCTTACAGACCAACTGTGACATTCTGAAAACAGTGCTTCTGAATTTCCTGTCACAGATGCATAACTTTGTATCTGTTTCTACTACAGTAATAACTATTTACATTTTCCTGTCAGTCTTTAATGAATACACATCAAATCTTTAATGAATATACACCAAGACTACTACTAATTGCTACAGTGCTCCTACAAGAAACACTTCTATTCAAAGAATCATCCTGCAAAACATTTATCAGCCTGTCAAATAATCACTACTTACTCCATGAAGACATATACTTCCATGTTAGCTATACGCAGTCACTTTGACCTCTCTCTGTAAGGAGATGAGCTACACTCCTTTCTATCTTCTCCAACAACTTCGGAAACTGCTGGCTAATTCCAAGCAAATACCAAAAAACTGTCTTAAAGACACTGTATTCCAGCAAGCTCCCAAAGTAACTCTTTGGCACTAGCAGAGTCTTAACCTGGGCTAAAAAAATGGTAACTGTAACTCAACTTGTTACTTTAATTTATTGAAGTCTGCGGCTGTTACCTTTCGACCAGCGCACACAGCCCTGCGCACACCCACACGTGCACACACAGAATCAGATTTATCACTGTTGAAAAAGACCTTGAAGATCATAGAGTCCAACTGTAAATCCATGACCACCATGCTTGCTAAACCACATCTCTAAGTGCTTCATCTACACACATGCTGGTTATTATTAGAAAAATCAGCAGCCCATCATCCAGCTAAACAGGCAGACTGCATGCAGGGGAGAACATGAACCACCAGGAGGAATCCAGAATGAGCTACTAGGTAATCTGCAACCTAAGTTAAGAGAAAAATAAGCGTTACTAGTTCTGCCACTCAGGATAACTGCTTTAACCACAGCAGCGAGTATATTTTAAATTTCTGGCACTAACTTAGCTCGAAGGCCCCTGGAGATCACCCGGCCCAAAGCCCAGGGCAGGCCTCTATCCCGACGTCAGTCACTGTCCCACATGATCCGGCTACCTAGGGTCGTTACTGCAACACCTCCCAAAACAGAGACTTCGCAGCCCCTTCGGGCACTATTTGAACGTGTCAACCACCTCCCTGAGACTTATTTTTTCCATAGTTAAGAAAAATTAAAGACTTTTTCTT